CTCCTTTTTTTTTTATTATTAATATATATGGTAGGGGTCAGTGCCAAACCCCTAGCACCTACCGGCCAGTATAGCTTGAGGTGTAACTGCCATTAAAATAAATATAAAAAGGGTCAATGAAATTACTTCGAATTTTTTCTTTATTAGTTTTTCTTGGGCGATAAAGTTTGATTATAGAAGAGACAACTTAATTAGTTAATAATAAAAGGTTTTGTAATATAAAGAGGTAATACATAATTATCTTATTGGGATTGTACCAAAGTGTCCTAATCCTAGTCTCAAAAGAAAAAGTGCAAATCAAGCACCAATCCTTGCTTGTCACTTGTGACATTTATTTATTTTCAGTTTACCCTTTTATTTATTTATTTATTTATTTATTGGTTTTATTTTATCGTTTTCTCTTACATTTTCTTTCTCTTTATCTCTCATTCTTTTTCTTCACTATTTTCCCCCACTTATAAACGACGGAGATGACTTAGCAAAAAAATGACATCACCGGAATCACCATTTTTTTCCGGTGAGAAACATTATAAAAAAAAGGGGGGAAAAGAAAGAAAAGAAAAAAAAAAGAAAAGGAAACAAGAAAAAAAGTAAAAATTAAAAAGGAGAAACATACAAAACAACATTTGCTTCTGGCCGGAATCATAAACGTCTCCGACGAGTAATATGGCAAAGAAGACAAAGTAAAAAATGAAAAAGAAAGAAAGAAAAGACAATAACAGAGAAAGGATAGAAAAAAAAAAGATAAAAAAAAAAAGAAGAAAAGAAATGGCAGAAGCAAGTTGGGTGTAAAAATGGCGGATGGAGTAATAAGGGGAAAGAGAATAGAAGAAAAGAAAAAGTAGAGAAAAAAATGAAAAAATGATTTTTTAGAGCTTCCACGCGCGATTTATCATGTGCAAATCAAAGCAAGTGTCATGTCAGCTCAAAAGATTGTACATATTACACTTCTAATAAATACAAAGGGATAATAGAACACATTTTTAAGGGATGCAACTGTCACTTTGATACAACCCTAAATAGGGTAATTATGTATTATCCCAATAGTAAACTCCCACTCTAATTGTGCGGTATAGGTTGAAATGTTGAGAGCTGACTTTGTTCGAAAGATTAGAAAACATGATAATACAATGGAAACATATGATAAATCATGAAGTACTTGAAAACAAACCATTGACATGTTCTCTATTATTCATATAAAGTATGAAAGTCAAAGGAAGATAATACAACGGAACACTGAAATCACTGGGAATTACTCATGCATAATAGGTATTTTAGTGGATTTTGATGCACTAAATACAAAGACATCCAACTTTTTTATGATCCAATTACACAAGTAAATTTAAAAGGTGCATCTTTCAAAAGACAAGTACAACAAACCCAACAATTATCACTGCAATCGCTGTCGGAAGTACAACTTCTCCAACAAGTATTAAGCTGTGGAAGAAGTCTCCTCTTGAGTCCGGAGAGATCATGATCAATATCCAACATAGATATAGCTTGTGTCTTTGAGATCAGAATCATGGCATATTAACCAAAATATTACACCCTCTGTTTTAAAAGGCAGAATTGGGACTTATCCGGGACTCGCCCTGGGGCGGGGCACTCGTAAAATGCCCTTGAGCTTATGTGTGGGGCTTAGTTCCGTGAGACTTAAGCCTCGGCTGTTGGGGCTTATGCCCCGGACATGCCCAACGCCTTACGTACTGGGCTCGCCTAATAGAACTTTATGCAATTGTGCGTAACTAACCTTGTAAATCCTCAAATTTTCTTAATAAATCGTTAACTATTCAAAATTACTTTTTTCTTAATCATAAATCATTAAGTTGAGAGTATTTTATGTCATAATTTAAATAAAATTTATTGCACGTTATCCACTAAGATTGCTATGATAGTAAATTTTAAATAAAGTTTTCATTTAAAGTATTTATTTATTAACTTTTGTTATGTCTTTATTATATTAATCCATAATTTTTTTATAATTATTTTCCTAAATATTATTTTTCATGTTAATACAATACTTATTAATTCAATAGCTCAGTATTAGCTAGTATTTACAAATAATTAGTTATCATGATATAGTATGGTGAATTATGTGTCACTTTATTAACTTGTTGAAACTTAAAAATAAATGATTCTAGAGAATCATATTTAAATTTTGAATAATATTTTTATATGAATTCTCTTTTAAATAGAAAGCATATTAAATAAAAGAGTATTTTGAAAAATATTAAATTATAATATCGAAATTCTTTCAAGATTCATTACTCCTTAAGAGATACATATAAGATTTCGAATCGAATACGTACTTTTGATGTTTGAGTTGTAACGATGTTGCAGCTAATTTGCATATTATGATATATGTCAAACTTTTTGTATTATTCATAGTTGAATTATAATTCATGAATATTTTAAGTAGATTATTTGTTATAATTTTGTGATTTTAATGTAATTTTTGTAATTATTTTTATTTTATATTATCTTAAAATTCTTGAAATTAGTAAAATTTAAAGATCCGTAGGACTTACGCCCCATGTCTCAGGATTTACGCCTCGCTTCGTCAGAGGTAAAACCCCTCGCCTCACGCTCCCGCCTCTTAAAACATTGATTACACCATTATAATTATTGAAATAAAATATGACTGGTATAACATCAAAAACACACATTTAAATGAATTCATAGAAAAACATCCATATTCATGTATATAGAAGAACATCTATAAAAAGAAAATAGATACTCACTAGTAGTTGCCACGAGAAGAAGGGTGATAATCAAACAAAGTTTCAGCAATGCCATACTAAGAATTGTAATTCATAAAAAGTTTTGTATGAACATCTCTTAATAAATTAACCCTCTAGCATGTGCTATAGTTTTTTTTGCGTTTTTATTTTCTTTATTATATCTTTAACTTGTTTTTGTATTCAAGGCTTGTCCATGCTAGCTGTCTTCTAATTAATGCAATCTATAATTTAATAAAGTCCTTTCACTCAGAAATCTCCGAGAAAAGATTAATTATATATGCAATCAAATATATAAAATGAACGTCTGAGCAAGAAACTAAAGATATGAGTTCTGCTTCCTAACTCTGTGCCGATTAAAAAATGAGTTAACATAATTTCAGATCCGTTATATTCTTAAGATACATGTGAGCATTGATACATAAATCTTAAAATAAAAAGACATTATTTATGATTTTCAATTGATGTGTACTGCAATAAGTCTATTGGCATATACTAATTATGAGATTTGATTACTAGTACACAGTAAATATCCATGAAATTTTGAAATATTTGCTTTGACTTGTGAAAATGCTAAGATCATCATGTACTACATACAAGCTTAATTATGCATTCAAATATATAGAAGTAAATGAAAATACTGAATGGAAACGTATGAATTATACAAGTCTTGAAATCCATGGAGTGGAATCCATTTTTTTTTATTTCTGAATAGATAGTAATTGACATGAGTTTTTCATTATTCAAAGTATGAAAGACAAGGAAACAAGAAAATACAATGGAAATACTGAAATAACTGGGAATTACTTATGCATAATAGAGAATTGTAGCGGATTTTATTGCCGAAGAACACAAAGACATCCACTATTTTACGCTACAATTATACAATTATTCACAAAAGGTAAATCATCTCTCAATTGACAAGTACAACAAACCCAACAATCGCTGCAATCACTATTGGAAGTACAACTTCTCCAACAAGTATTAAGTTGTGGAAGAAGTCTCCTCTTGAGTCCTGAGAGATCATGATCAACTTCGAGTGCGGCTATGACTTGTGTCTTTGAGATCCATGACATATTAACTGAAATATTTCACATTAATAATTACGGAATCAAATTNATATAGAAAGAGAGAGATAAACAAAATAGATACTCACTAGTGATTGCCACGAGAAGAATAGTGATAATCGAACATAATTTGAGGAATACCATATTAGGAATATACGTTACACTTTATGAAAATTTTTGTATGAGCATCTTATTGCTTTTCGATGATCGTAATTTATAGGCCTCTCCATAAGTAAACTAGCTCTCTAGCATGTGCTATAGTTGCCCCCCCCCCCCCCTTCTTTTTATATTATCTTTATAAAAAGATAATATATTATTTAATAAAGTTCCTTCACTCCCACACCTGCAGAAAAAAAGATTAATCATGCAATCAAATATATAAAATGAAACATTTAACCAATAAATTAATATAATGATCAAGTTGTGCTTCCTATGTATGTGCCCAAAAAATGATTAAACGTAATTTTAGATTCGTGATTTTTGTATGATGCATGAGAGCATTGATACACAAACATTTAAAAAATAGGCATTTTTTATGATTTTATATGGTTAAGAGATTGATCACTAATACACAGGAAAAAAAAAATCAATGAAATGTTCAAATATTTTCTTTGATTTGTGAAAATGCTAAGATCATTTACTATATCAAGCTTGAGAACATCATTTCGGTTTCTGATTACCTAGTCTCCCTCAGACGCGAAGCTAGGATTTGAAGTTTATGGGTTCGAAAATTTAATTTTTTTAAATTATAGAGTTCTAAATTAATAATTTATAGTAGATATTAAATGAATATTTTTAAAATCTCTCTTATCAGAGTAGTATATTCTTATTAGTAGTTAATTACGTTATGAAATTATCTTGCTGCTATATTATATTATACACAAGCATGAACACAAAAACCTGAGAGGGCATTACAGGCAGAGTCATTTGTTCCTCATATTAAAGATATTCGACTTTATATGGAGGAATATATCGATGTTTTTGCCGAATTTAACCAAATAAAGATTTAATTTTCATCAGAATTGATCTTGATTTGTAATTTGTGCAACAAGATTGCATCATATGGTTAAAAAATACATCACCAGTACACAACCTACAACAATAATTATGACTCAGTTCCAAATAAGTCGAAATCGACAATATAAATTCTCACTGATCATATTTATCCGGTCACTAGTACACAGAAGGATCAATGAAAAATTGAACATGTTTCTGTGTAATTCTGAGTATGTTAAGATTTACTATTTCAAGCTTGAGAATAGCCTCTTGTTGGTTCTTATAACTGGCTAATCTTCCTTATCCTATGTATTTGTATTACATAAAAACAAAAGGTTGGCACTAAACTTCTTTCTTTATTCACGGCGTGTTCGGGTTAGTTTATGCACATCCCAGCTATTTTTCTGAGTACTTATTATCTCCTACCAGCACAACATATCGAGTAAATCTACCCATAAATGCTTAGACGGATGAAAAAAATTCACTTGTCCCTCATGTTGGCTCTGTTGTGGTTTGAAATGTGGTTTTCTATGTCTTTTACCTGCTTTATTGATGTCACACTCATACGGTTCGTTTGGTACGAGGGATAAGATATAATTAATCTTGAAATTAAATTTGAGATGAATTTATCCCATGTTTGGTCAGGGAAAATCGCGGTATAACTAATTTTGGGATTAGTGATCCTGGGATTGTAGTGTTTTTTTTATCCCTATGGAAGGGTGAGATAATTAATACCCGGATAACTAATTTCGGAATAATTAATTCTGGAATAACTTATTTCCAACTAAACGACTCCTTAGTTGCAAAAGACTTGCACTAAACTAGAAGCTCCTTAGAGTAGGCAATGCTGCACTAAGGGGTCGTTTGGTAGGGTGTAGAAGAATAGTGCGGAATAAGATGTATTAATAATGCATGAATTAGTAATGCATAGGTTAGTAATGCAAGCATTAGTTATGCAAATATTATTTCTTATCTAGTGTTTGGTATGGTGTATTAAAATTATAATGCATTGCATAAGTTTTAAGAAAAATAGTCGCTTAAAAAATGCTCTCCATATTCTCTAGCTTTAAGGGACTTTAAGGACGATTTTGTCTTTAATCATGCTAATGCATGCATTAAAGCCTTGGTATTACTAACGCCATAATTTTCTATGCATTACTTATGCATAGGATAATGTCAAGTATGGTTTTCCTTTGTTTTTGGTGGATTTCATAGGTGAATTTTCGATTTTCTCTGTTTTATAACCATGTCTATATTTCAGTTTTCAATGTAAAATTTAGGGGTTTTGTGTTTGCTATGTCTTGACGTGAATAGTGAAAGTTAATTTACCGTAGTTGGCACCTGTAAATTTAGTCTTGATCTTTTAATAGTGCAATTCATAATTTGGGGGAATTTAGTGATAGATAGGGAAATTACGGATGTCAAATTTTTTCCTATATCCCCACTTCAAGAATAGTCATTTGGGTTTGTTTTGCAGTTCTTCTCGGCTTCTCTTGATTAATATATTTCAGATTTCTTCTCTTTTTGATGTCCAGATTTGTTTCATGAATTCTATCTATTTTTTATTTTACAGTCATGTGTCTTTGGCTCTTCGGTTACAAACTACTCAAATAGAATACAGAAGGGCTCTGTAAACAAAAATTATGCGGTCACAAGTGTTTCAATTTTATAGCAGTCAATGGTATTAAGAAGAACTCAATGTGAATAGATGAAGGCTCTGTGAACAAAATTACCAAAGGTCAGAAATAAACTTATGTTCTTTCAATTATTTTGGTTACCTTTTCATTTAGGCGAAATGGCCTTGTGGCCATTTAAACTTGCTCTCGTATGTAAAGCCGATACACAAACTTACACCGTTCCTATTTGAACACTCAAGCTCACGTATTTGGTAACTAATAAACCTATTTGACTGTTGACCATGCACATGTGGCAGTGACAGAGGTGATGTGGACAAAGAGTGTACAAGTCACGTAAATTAAACGCGTGAATACAATTATTTTGATTTTAAAAAATCTAAAATATAAAAAAATAATTGCAAATGAAAAAGAAAGAAAATAAGCCCTCACCCCACCTTTTCCCACCCCAAATCAGTAATACCATTATTCCCCTAACCTCTTACTGTTTCTTTTCCCCTTTCCCATTGTCGTCTGCCCCACACCTTCCCCTTCTTTTCTTTCTCCCCCACTCCAATCTTTCCCCGCCTCTTCCTTTTTTGTTTCAAACCCTGTAGTGAAAAACAAAAAAAAAAGCAATGAATTTTGAGGAAAACAAATCTGTCAATCCTTTCTTCCATATTAACTCCATCTCTCTTTTTTGTATCCATCTCAGACTAGAAGATAGATAGAGAAAAGAGAAAGACCATTGGAAAATTGTCGAGTTTTAGCCGAAAAATCTCACTTACGGTGTCCGACTTCTTCTCTCTTTTTGATTTCACCATTAATGTCCTCTGTGGACATAGCCTCGCCGACTCTCTTGATGCCTTGATGGAATTTTAACAGGTGCCCCATCGGCTCTATGACTTGGGGTATGAATTCTATGGATTTTATTAAAAGTAAAAGATGGAATGGATTTTATGGAAGTTCATGAGTGATTGAGGCATGTGGTCAGGTTATGGCTGAGATTTTTTTCTCGGACTGCAGCGCTAAAAGTTGTAGAAGAAACGGTGAAAGAAGTAAAATAAGAAAGAAATTTTGATAAATTAGTTTAAGGAAAAAGAACCCACAAATGACACATGTAAAATAATAAATGGTCTTAGAATTTGACGTGTTCTTCCTGTCAGGCAATTGAGCTACATGCTCTGACGAACGGGTTTATTTATACTCAATTGGTTGAGTTGAGGTGCTAAAATGGGAAAATCAAAAGTTTATATATCGACTTTATAATCCAATACAAGTTTAAGTGGCCACGAAACTATTTCGCATTTCATTTATTTATACATTGGAGTTGGCAAAAGACGAGTTACCTTAGATTTTTATCTAAAAACCTGCAACAGAGCAGTTTGTTCTAAATTTGAAGATTTAACTAAAAAGAAGAAACAATAGGGCTTTCTGGCAACAAGGCTGATGGAAATCAAGGTGAGTTAGATGAAAAGTAGATCACTGGACGCCATTGGTGAATTCCTTAAATTCTCTGTTTGCTGGAAGCTAGATAGAACATGTAACAAGTTTTAATTTAAAGAAGCAACTTTTTGAGTAATCTGTATATTTATATGACGAGCGTGTAAGCAGATATGTATAGGATTATAGCTGGAAGAATGGCACACAAAAGTATGTCTGAATTGGTTAACAATAGAATTAAAGAAAGACATTAGTATTTGTTTCTTTCTATTGTCCCTCACTTGTGATTTTTGGTAGTGAAACATTACATTTAATAGACTATTCAGATGACTATTGTTTTTTGAATTGGAACTATTCAGACAACTATTTTTTATTTACTCCTTTTAAAGTTAAAATAGGTATAGAAAATACAGAATAATTTAATGTAATTCTTACCAAATTTAGCCAATTTACTTTCGGGTCTTATAACTAGATAATGTATTTGTTGGCTCCATGCAACCAATATATGGCTATGTTAGACACCCAAAGAAATTAAAATTGACAACATAGGTTAGTATAATTAATAATTCTAGCACTTCAAGATTCTCTATAGTGTAGTGTTGAAGTTTGGCAAAATGCCAAAGTCCCACATTGGTTGGGAGTTAAGTTTGGAGGGG